TATCAAATAAATAATAGTTGTATAGTATATCAGACAAGAGCATTTTTTATTGAACACAACGTTGTTAACCTGTGAATGGTGATGAAATGTTAGTGTAGTTTCGGAATTAAAAATCCTACATGTTAACCGGCGAAGTCATCCAGAACTCACATTTGAAAGAAAGGTCCCCTATCGTGCAGCCAGAAACGGTGCTCACGCATTGGTTTCAGATGGCACTCATTGTGGCGGACCATCCACATGAACGCACAAACGGAGTGGAAGTAGATAGGGAGAGGGAGCAGCAAGCGATTTTGGAAAGGCCCGGTGACAGCAGCTGTCGTTAGCATTGGACTGGTCAAAAACATGATAGATCTGAAGTCAGCTCCTGGATCAGTTTGAACGTGTGAAAACTGTCAGAAATACGCATCATCTTAAATTTTCAGTGGTCAGAAACATAATGTAAAGTAAACATTTACAAATAAACACATAAAGTGCTAGCTTACATTGATTAGCCGTGTGTACTCTGTATAACCATTGAATACCCTCTCCCCACATCATTATTAAAATCCAATATTACAGCCATCAGTCCATTGATCACAGCAATCCTCAACCAGTCACTCAAATCCGGTCAGGTTCCTCCAGCTCTCAAAACTGCAGTTATCCGCCCCCATCTGAAAAAGCCGTCACTTGACCCCGACATCCTGGCTCATTACAGACCCATTTCAAACCTGCCGTTTTTGTCCAAAGTCCTGTAAAAAGTTGTTGCAGCCCAACTCCATCACCTTCACATCCATAACATATATGAAAAATTTCAGTCCGGTTTTCGAGCAGCACACAGCACGGAGACAGCCCTGGTCCGCGTCACAAATGACCTACTTATTACTGCAGACCAGGGCTTACCATCTCTCCTCCTCCTACTGGACCTGTCGGCCGCCTTTGACATTGTGGATCACAACATCCTGCTTCACCGTCTCCAGTTTATGGTAGGACTTTCTGGGACTACACTAGGCTGGTTCCAGTCTTATCTCACAGCCAGGACGGAGTATGTGGCTTTAGGACAGTCCCAATCATCACCCAACACAGTCAGCTGTGGAGTGCCACAAGGGTCCGTCCTTGGTCCAACCCTTTTTACCATCTACTTACTACCCCTCGGTCACATCATCCATAAACACAAAGTTTCATTCCATTGTTACGCAGATGATACACAATTATACATAAAAATGGACTCCACACTCCCCTCAGCTCTGCCATCTGCACTTCAGGTTTGCCTGGAGGAGATAAGGGCATGGATGGCTGACAACTTTCTTCAACTAAATAGCAGCAAAACCGAAGCCATCCTGATCGGTACCCCACATCAAACCCAGTCCTCCTCCCTCAGCAGTATATCCATTTTTGGTCATCACATTCCCCTGTCTACCTCTGTTACAAACCTTGGAGTCAGACTTGACTCAAATCTCACATTCGACACTCACATCCGTCACCTCTGTAAGGTCTCCTTCCTCCACCTCAAAAACATCGCCAAACTCCGCCCCTTCCTCTCACAACTACATGCTCAGAAGTTGATCCATGCCTTTATCTCCTCCAGGTTGGACTACTGTAATGCCCTCCTCGTCGGGATCCCTGGCAGGAGATTGCAAAGCTCCAGCATATTCAGAACTGCGCTGCCCGGGTCCTGACGAGGAGGCGCAAATATGACCATATCGCTCCAGTCCTGAAATCCCTCCACTGGCTGCCCATTCAATACAGAATTCAATATAAAATCTGTCTCCTTACCCACCAGTGCATACATGGAACTGCCCCTGCCTACCTCAGTGAACTCCTCACCCCACTCACCACCTTAAGAAACCTCCGCTCCTCCACCTCTACCCACTGCCTGCACCAACCAAGGACTAAACTCTCCACCATGGGAGACAGGGCCTTCCAGGCAGTCGCCCCACGGCTCTGGAATGCCCTCCCAGAGCCCCTAAGGGCCCCACAAACTCTGGAGGTTTTTAAGAAGGGCCTAAAGACTTTTTTATTTCAAAAGGCCTTTTAACAGTCATGGTTTAAAATTTTCTGTTACGGTGTTTTATTGCGATTGTTATTTTCTGGAACTGTTTTTAACCCCTTGTTGTTGTAGCACTTTGAGATTTCCCTGAAATGTAAAGTGCATTATAAATAAAATTTATTATTAAAAGTGTGTTGCTTAGTTTCTGACCATCTACAGATGGTGACAAATGACAGGAGGAACCAGCAGGAAGTGTCTCAGTGTGGCGTCAGGCCACCACTAGTCTCCAGAACAGCCTCAGGACTTTTTAGACTTGTGAATCTCAAAGTGTTTCTGGACATAGGCTTTGTATGTTTTTAAGCTTTGCTAAATAAAACTAGGTAGATCAATTTGATCTATTGAAAGGTTGATGATTCTCTGGACCTGATTTTTTCATCCTCTCATCCAAGGCTTCTTTCACAGCATTTCAGTAAAGCTCTAAAATGTCGCCAATCTTTGTTCATCAAGACAGGGAGTAGCAGCACAGGTGTTAGGATAGGAGGATGAGGCAGAGGAGAAGTCTTGTACGAGGGGTAAGCCTATTGCCTATTCTGTCTTTCCGTTCTCTATCATAATGAAATTCTCTAGGGCTCATGAGACCTTTTAACACACACTATAACTACATATACTACACCTAACTGTGCCAGATACGACAGTTGCTGGAAGTGGGCTGAGGGGTCTCTTGCATCCCAATGCCCCTACTGAAGCCAGATGCCGTGGTTGCTTGAAGTCTACGGCTATGTGCATTGGCATCCCGGTGCCAGGAGCCTCGACTAGAGGGAGCTGCTGCCATTGCGGGAAGTGGCAGTAGGGGGCACAGACATCCCAGTGTCATTCGCCCTGGATCATGTACGCCTGATGGGAAATGAATTGTCCTGGAAATCCCATGTTGGTTGCTTGATGGACGGCTGGGATTGTTGTGTTGTTTCCAAGTTTGCTCTTCCTGGTATTGAGAGGATTGTATTAAACTGTTTTATTGCACCCTCTACTGATTGCTAGCAGATGTCCTCATTATTTCCGATCTGTCATCAGTCTTTGCTGAACTTGACTGTGAGAGGCGTGTTTTTGTGAACATAGATTTGTATGAGCACTTTATTCTCTTTAGACTAAAAACAGGAACAAACCTGATCTGTTCAACAAGATGTTCCAGTCACCAGTTACTGATTGTGCACCAGGACACAACATATATCCTGGTGCCAGAAGCCCTGACTAGAGTGAGCTGCTGCGATAGTTAGAAGTGGCATCAGGGGGCGCATGTATCCTGGTGTCAGGTTCCCCCTGCTAAGGCTGGCTGACTTAAGGTGCGTTTGACTTCATGCAGCGCTGACTTAACGTGATGTATGCTGGACTTAAAATAAGGCATGCTGGCATTAAACCTTGCGGGAGGCAGGCGGCTGCAGGCGGCTGCAGGCGCTGACAAGGGCGGCCGCAGTTGATTTCTCCGACTGCATAAAAGTTGGAACCACTTTTTGTCTTTGAAAACTGCCGCGAGATCACTCATTGATTTCAGCTCACAGTAAGCTCACGCAGGTAGACTGTGTCTGACCTGATGGCGCCGTTTTTATTCCCCGCCCCTGCAGTCACCTGCAGCTCACGTTAGACTATGAAGTTGGTGAAAGTCAGCTGCAGTCATCTCGAACGCACCTTTAGTTTCTGGAGCTGCAGGGGTGTTGATGACCCTATGTTGTTTGTCCTGTATGAAGTAGGCTGCTGGTGCTGTTGTTGAAAACCCTTCATCCCAGCTCGCTAGCCAGCAGGCTTCATCTTGGACTGGTAGCCCCCAGCCTTCATCCTGGTCTGCTATCTACCAGCCATTACTTCAGCCTGCAAGCAACCAGCCCGCTCCAGTTGATTATGCTTTTGGCTTATGAGCCTAATGACTGTCCTGAGTTGGCTAGCCAGTCCCCTGTTCCTGGTGTTTCACCTTCCACGCCAGTCATGTGAGGGTTTCTGCCTTCATCACCTGTCTCCTTTCATTCTTCCTCCAATCTGCTCACCCCTTCAGTCCCGCCCTGTGGTTGCCCATCTGGATTTTTGACAGACTGTAAGTTTGTGGTTTGTGGGACAGTTGGAAGCCATTCCTTCGGGTGGGGGTCGGGGGGCTGGTTTGAAAGACTTCCTTTCTGAGTTTTGGTCTTTGGATTATTTACCTGGATTTGTTTGCCTCAATCCTGGACTGCTTAGCTGGTTTCTTAAACCTTGCCTGCCTCAGTTACCGTAAACATATACCGTAAACATATACCCATATACCACAAAGTTGTGTTGTATTTGGTCTCAGGGCCACCGCAGTTTGTGCTTGCCAGAGAGTTGACATTAGGAAGTAAACCAGTGTCACTTCCTACCATGATGCACGTCAGGACATTGCTTCTGTGTTGACTTCACATTTAAATTCAGATAGACAGTCACACCATTCTATCTGACCTTTTAGCATTTAAAATGAGCTGATCAGATCACTGTTCCTTTATGATGCAGAGATTTGACTTGAGTGAAGTCAAACACTCACCGGACGTTCGACTATTTCTGCTGTGGTAATTGGTTCGTAACGTTGAGGGCGGGGCTTCCTGATTCAGTGGAGAGCAGGTGAAGCCCCGCCCTCACTGTCAAGGACCAATCATGAGCAGCAGGGTGACATGCAGCGCTGTCTGTGTTAAAAAGAAAGTGAAGCTGAAGGCTGACAGTCGACATCCAGACAACATGAAGGCTTCATCTGTGTCTCTGCTGCTCGGTGAGTCCAACACAGAGCTTCTACATTCATCCATCCATCACAGCTCCAACACATTTCAGTGTCTGGACTCATACAGAGGAAAAAGAAGATGAAACTATTGGAATGTTTTCCTCTCAGCTTTTTGCTGAACGCTGCAGTCACATGGTTCATTTCTTCCACCATGAAGCCACGAGGACATCTCAAGTGATAAAGAAGCTTTCTGTGTTTTGATCAGTTTGTTTGACAGGGAACAGGCTCACTGATCAGCAGCTGATAACAACTGCCAATGACTTTCACTGCATTTCTGTCCTCCCTGTTAAAAAGATATTATGTCATCTTTCATAGATACAACTTAAGATATATGCACACAATGTTACTCAAATAAATGTAACAGGTAGTAACCAGTAGTAACAGTGGTATAATGGTAAACTGACATCCATATCAATAAGATGTGAGCAAAGTGACCGTAATGAGCTCGAGAACTCAACAGTTCAGCAGTCTTATGGTTTGTGGGCTGAAGCTGCCTGGTGGTGCAGGACCAGATGCTGCAGTACTTGCCCACCTGTTCTCACTCCCATGGTCAAGACCCGTCAGCGTCAGTTTGTAATGCTCTGGATATCCCCATGGCATCATAGTTCAGTGCATTGGGGTAAGCCCGGTAGCATTAGCTTTGGAGAGTAAAGGTAGGTGAAGGATGTTATACAGAAAAGACTCAGTAAGGAGGTGGTTGGTGTAGATGGAGGGCCAGACACGGGACTTTATGAAATATTTTTATTTAAGTTGCGTAGGTTACGTAAGTTACGCAAGTAATGTTACTTAGTTATTTTAACCCAAGCCATGATCTTTTCCTAACCCTAAACAAGTACGTTTGGTGCCTAAACCTAACCAAATTGCAACACTTCACAACTTTAACAACATGCTGTTTCCCAACATTAACGTTTTATTTTTAAAGTCTAACCGGACGCTGCATATTTATTTTTGCTAACTTGACCGGATGTTGTAGATTTATTGTTGCTGAATGTTGGTAATTTCATTGCGGAGCCCTAAACTCCAAAAACGACGCTAGGGCGTTAAAAATCGGTACCAAGGGGGGTGACGAGTTGGGAGTGAAAATGTGTTGCACCCTGAAGTATTGGGGTCTCTGGTGATCCTGTTGGCCTTCTTCCTGCACAGCTGGGTGTAGAGGTCCTCCATGGATGGCAACTCTGGCCTGGTGATGTAAATTAATCACCACTGTGATGATAATTATGCGTAATATAGAGCTGTATTTAATTCAATTTAATTGTTTGATGCTCCTTTTTTCAGTTGATTTTTTTCCACCACTAGCAGTGACTCTAGGGGTCTCTCTGTTAGCCACGGGGCCCTATACCACTGCAAAGGTTGCTTAGTGGCTCGGCCAGCTCTGTTTCAGCACCACTGAACTGAACTGTCATTTCACACAGGAAAGCTCAGCTGAGACATTCTGATCTTATCTGGGTTTCATGTGTCACTTCCTCTCTAACTGTGACATTTCCATGGTTGTTACATTGTTTTGTTTGTATATGCAGTGTTTCAAGCGCACGGCAAGGGGGCTGCGGGGGGTGTTGCTGGACCCTCTATTGACTGGGAGAAACACAGTGTGCAAATTACATGTGCAGACTACATAATGGGCACTAGAGGATGCTCTGGTTCATATTACAGCCTAATAATTTGACATCAGCAGCTGTTTGCACTGTTTTGTCACGATTAGAGTTAGTTAGGAGTCTGAACAATTGTGTAGCCTAAATCATCCAACCGCCCTCAACCCAACTAGTCTAATTCTTTTCTCAGATTTATCCCACCTCTACCGGTCATTTTAACTTTCCAGGTGATTTCTTTATATGTTGATTTTTCTTCAAGGATGTACTTTCATGATTAGAGTCTTTGCTGTCTGTCTTTTTAAATGTTTCCATGGGCGCAGTAATCTCATAGCAAATACCGTGGGACAGCAGCAAAACTAAAAACTGTAGTTATAAAGTTGACAGGACAGACAGAGGAAACCCTGTAGAGGAAACAGAATTCAACTTTTAGCTTCTAAAAAAATTTAGACGCACTGATGGAGCTCAGGACTGATCGGGAGGACGGCTGCTTTCTCCAAACAGTTTCTCTGTATGAACCTGGACTTTGTGTGAGACCTTTTGGATGTGTAGAAGAACACAGAACATTAATTAACCTTAGATTCTGCCTGATCCTGTTTGTGTGTCGGGATTTAAATAGGAAGTTATGCTGCTGTGTCCCGTGCGTAAATGCGCACAGCTTTTTAGCCTTAAACCGACCATCATTAAGACGAAGCTATTGGACCAGCGGTGTCTCCTCTTTCTGAGGGTCTCATGTACCCACACGGTTCTCCGTTTCCCTGTCTCCTGCATGTTTGTACACCTCTCGCCCCTCAAACAGTGCCAGAGCAGGTTTTTTTAAAAACCAACTAAAGACACCGACCTGTGAGTTGTGATCACGTTTCTGCTAATACGACAGTTATTAATTAGCAGCAAACCAAAGATTTCAGAGCGCATTTTCAAACCTGCAAGGCGCTTTCTGTCTGATCGGGGTCTTAATGGGGAGATGCTTCACCATCCAGCCTGAAATAAAAAAAAAAAAGAGTAGGCTATCGTCCAAAAACAGCGGCGCTCTCAGTTAGCGCATACCACGCACAAAATTGAAATGAGGGGAGCGACGGTGTAATCAGCTGCGCCCGCATGGCCTTCATTTAATTTGTGTTATCAATGGTTTTTCTTTGAAATTTTATGTAGGCCTATAGATTGACCTACATAGCCTACATATGCCTAATTACGGAGGTCCGGAGCTCGGTGACCTCATACGACCCTGCTTGTAACCACTCTGTGTTGAAGGAAAGTGTGTAAGTGTGTGCCCACACACAGTCATGTCATGTGTGCATTTCTGCTGTGCAGCACCCCTAAGTGAAAATGTCTTCCCGCACGCCTGCAGTGTTTTGCTGTGGAACCCGGAGCTCTTTACCCAGAGACGGCTGCAGCAGATTTATATCCCACTTTTCTTATCTGTGGAATAAATGGACATTCAAATCACATGTGTTTTCACATTTGTCTACGCAGTGAAAAGTGCACTCAATGTGCAACAAACTGAATGAAAAACAGACATTTCTTTATCTTTTGTGTTTTTGCTTCAGGTGCAGCAGTTGCTGTAAACCATTCTGCTCCCCCCCCTGAGATCACATCTTTCATTCTGGTTAATGTTTATGTCACTGCAGGCCAATGTGCAGGAGGCACAGCGCAGACCAGATACTGAGTGTGTCTTTAAAGAACCTCCGGGTCTGAAAACTGAATCCAGTGCTGAAGAGCCTTAAACCTACGTCCTCTCCAGCAGCCAGCAGGGGGACTCCTCCGGCTGCAGAAGAAAATGTTTCTGCTTCTCAGCTGATTTATTCCCTCAGTAAACACTTTCCTGATGAGTTTATGGTCTCAGTCGCTAGTTTCAAGTCTTCTTCAACACAGCATGATGTTCATTTAGTAAATTATGGTCCCATTTAGAGGAACAGAGACCAGGAAGCAGGGGATTGTCCACTCATTGCTCATTCCTTCAGTGACCTCTGACCTTCAGTGACCCCTGACCTTCAGTGACCCCTGTCTTCCTGTTGCAGGTGTGTCTGTGCTGCTGCTGTCTGGACTGACTGATTCTGCAGGTGAGCTGATGGAAGAGAAAACAATCACTGACTCTCTCTCTGTTGAAGATGGACAGATGGTTCTGGTCTGATGGACTAACTCTGTTTTCTTCTTCTTCAGATTCTCAGGTTATTCTGGAGATTCCTGCACGTCCTGTCATAGCAGGAAGTGATGTCACTCTGCGCTGTAGAACCAAAGATCAGGTCGCACTCGAAGCCTTTTTCATCAGGGATGGTTCTAAACTTGGATCTGGACCTGAAGGACAGTTTACCATCAGGAACTTCCAACAGTCTGATGAAGGTCTCTACTGGTGTTATTTTGATCAGACTGAAGAATCTCCTCGGAGATGGCTGAGTGTCACAGGTCAGGATGTGTCTGTCTGTATATGACTCTTAGGCCTCATTTATTAAACTGTTTGTAGGATTAAAGTCAAAAGGTTGCGTACAGACGATACACAAAAGACGCACACAGAGACTGTTTGTTAATACCGAGTTTGCCAAGTTCAGACTTCTGTACTTTAAATCTCGGACTTGGCAGGTACAAGCTCCCAGGAACGGGAGCACGCAGTCCTTCATTCTGCAATTGGAACAGCAGCGGACTTGATGACAACCTGTCCCTTTAGCGGGCGGGATCTCACATCTCTTAAAAAGTCATCAGTAAAACACATCAGGGTATTTGACTGTACTTGGCTAGATGCGGGCTTTTGAATCGGAACTTGGGCTGCGACTGATGACGTTTCACAAGTTCACAAGAACACAAGTCCAGACAAGAACGCAGGTTGAGAATCAGCTAGAGTGTTTGCTCCGGGAGGAAAGGGGGACACTGGAATGTCACAAAAGCACTTTGTAATATTGTTTTGAAAAGTGCTCTACAAATAAAGATTAATATATATTTATATTATTACTGGAGCTCCACCTCCTTGATGAGTGACTTGGAGAATGGTAACAGAGGTGGAGGGGGACACAGATATGTAAACCAGGTGCATACTTTGTATTCACTTGTTAGAAAAGAGGTTAAACCAAATGCATTCAGGTTTTGTTTAAACATTTATTTACACAAATAAAAAGACGTTTTCTGCTGTTTCAGCGGGGTCGATGGACCTGCAGCTGAGTGGGCCCAGCCCCGGCGTCACCTCCTGCACCTCTTGCTGTCAACCCTCAAGGGCCCGTGTAGATGCAGTCCTATTAACGCAAAGAGACTTCATTGACTGAATTAACGAGGCTGCCGAGGAGTTAAAGAAATAAGTTTGTCTTGTGTGACAGAAGCTGGACTCTGTCACTCAAATGTTTTCTATTAGTTTAAGAATTTATCTGTTTTTGCATGAACTAGTGTTAAGTTTCATCTAAGGTTCAAACTGTTTCATCCTTCTGCCATCTGAGTCACTGTTTCTCATTTCTCCAGTTAATGTGCATACACATGGCTCAGAGTTACTGCACGTTTTTTAGAAATCCCAAAGTTTGCTTAGAAAGTGGAGAACGCCGTCTTTTATCTGCACGCTACGTTTAGAAATGAGGCCCTGGTCTGACAGGTCTAACTCTGAATATGGTTCTGGTCTGATGGACTAACTCTGTTTTCTTTCTTCAGATGATGATGCTCAGGTTACTCTGGATATTCCTGCACTTCCTGTGGTGGCAGGAAGTGATGTCACTCTGCACTGTAGAACCAAAGATCAGGTCGCACTCGAAGCCTTTTTCATCAGGATGGTTCTAAACTTGGATCTGGACCTGAAGGACAGTTTACCATCAGGAACTTCCAACAGTCTGATGAAGGTCTCTACTGGTGTTATTTTGATCAGACTGAAGAATCTCCTTGGAGACGGCTGAGTGTCAGAGGTCAGGACACTGACATCACTTCCTGTTTATATGACATGAACTAACCTGCTGACCTGATAATAAACTGATCACTGCATTGATCCAGGTTCTACTGATTTTCCTTCCAGGTTCTGGTCTGATGGACTAACTCTGTTTTCTTTCTTCCTCAGATGATCTAGTTACTCTGGAGATTCCTGCACTTCCTGTGGTGGCAGGAAGTGATGTCACTCTGCGCTGTAGAAACAAAGATCAGGTCGCACTCGAAGCCTTTTTCATCAGGGATGGTTCTAAACTTGGATCTGGACCTGAAGGACAGTTTACCATCAGGAACATCAGTCAGTCTGATGAAGGTCTCTACTGGTGTTATTTTGATCAGACTGAAGAATCTCCTTGGAGACGGCTGAGGTCAGAGGTCAGGACACTGACATCACTTCCTGTTTATATGATATGAACTAACCTGCTGACCTGATAATAAACTGATCACTGCATTGATCCAGGTTCTACTGATTTTCCTTCCAGGTCCTGCTGCCCCTCCTCCTTCCAGTACTTCTCCTCCTTCAGCCTCCCCTCCTCTCTCCTCTCCCCTCCAGTTGGACTACCTGTGGGTTCTCTGGTTCTTCTGGTTCTTCTGGTTCTGGTCCTGGTTGGAGTTCTGTTGCTCCGCAGGAATCAAACAGGTATGAAAGCTGTCAGACTCACCTGATGTGAACAGACTGGAACCAGACTGTGTCTGATCCAGTCAGCAGGTCTGTACTGAACTACAACCTGGGACTTGTTGGACTCCTGACTCCCAGAGCTTTCAGCCACTTCTCATGGTCTTCATCAGCTCATGGCGTTTGCTTGGTAGTTCTGGAGATGCTTCAGGTGTGGTCATGTGAGGTACAGACCCTCAGTCCCATGGTAACAGCTGCTTGTATATGGGGGGAGATGTGATGTACCTGTAGGTCACATGATGACACCTGAACCAACTCCATTTACTGATGAACACCATGAGATGCTGCTGAAAGCTCAGTTAGATATTTTCCACTAACTGTTTATATATTTGAATACAAAGTTAACCTGCTGACCTCTGACCTTTAGTAAACCTTGTTCTCCTGTTGTAGGTCTGGCTGTGCTGACCGCTGCAGGTGAGCTGATGGAGGGCTGCAGTCGAAAAGTAAAAAAGGATCTTGCTAAATGTGGTTGATGGATTTTATCGTTTGAGTTTGAGAACGTCGCTTTAAATGTTGGCGCCGCAAGGAATTGTGGGACGGCCTTCTCTCCTTTCCTTCATAAAGGATGGTCCAGTGTACCCTATGTGAAAGGAAGCATTGAGGCACCTTTCCTCAGCTTTTAGAACAGCTCTTATCATGGCTGCCACTGAAATACTTCCGGTTCACTTCACTCAGTCAGAACTTTCCTAAGCAAACAAGACTTTTAAATGCAGTCGAAGTCTGTCTATCTGTCTGTTGACCTCTGACCTTTAGTGATTTCTGTCCACCTGTTGCAGGTGCGGCTGTGTTGCTGAGTGGACTGCTTGTTTCTGCAGGTGAGCTTGTGGAAGTTAATCATTTATAAAAATATACAGAAGAATTTATTCTGCTCAATTTATCATTATAGATAGAGATATATAATTTTAAATAACACCGTAGGTTTGATTTGATTGAGTATACAGGCTTACGGTAAGGTGAGGTTTGCAAGGGTCATAGATGGGGAGCGGGTGAAGAGCAAAATCCACAATCAAAGGTAGCAAAGTATAGATCCAAAAGCACAGGGAGAACATTGGGAAAAGCCTTGAACGCAAAGTCTTTTGACAAAGACAAACAGGCAACCGACAAGGGGATCACACTGACAAAATACACAAGTGAGGGGAGGATAACGAGACAAAGGTGAAGCTAATCAGGACGGGGCCGACAATCACACTGCTGGGAAACCACACAAAGACAGGAAGTGAAGTTAGCAAAAACACACAAGGAAGGACTCCATAAACATAAAACAGGAAATACAAAATTGAAACACAAAATGTTATGATATTTGGCAATTAAGATTCTTGACGTGTACAGTTTTATTTTTATTTTCTCTCACTATGTTTATTGTTACTCACCAAAATGACAGATGCATCCTTGTATGTTGAAAACCTTCTTGGCAACAAACCTGACTGTGCTTCTTGTTCTCCTCCGTCAGACTCCTCTCTGTCTGTGCTCAGACTCTGCTGCCATCTAGTGGTCTTCTGTCCATACTGCGTCTCTACTGGTCTGATGCTGTCCATCTGCTGCAGCAGGAAGACAGGAAACAAACCAGCCGTCTCCATGGAGATGACCCAGGCCGTTGGAGAAAGTGATAAATTGGATGGAGAGTATAATGACATCACTGCTGATGTCACCACTGAGCACGCCTTCTGAGCTGTGAACACAGTTGTCAGTGCCCAATCCATAGTGGCTGCCCGATCCCTTCTGGACATGCACAGAAGTGGTCCTGTCAGTCAAATAAAGTTACCACAAACGTGCCTGTTCATAATGACTTGTGTGTTGTTGCCTGTTCTCATCTCAGGTTGTCAGATACTGATGCTTTCAGAAGGGCTGCCAAAGTGTATTTGACGCAAGAAGTACCCCTCAGTGTCCTTATGAGACGCACCCGGGTGCGTCTGTATGAGATGCTCTGTCTAGGCTGGAAGCACTAGTAGCTGGCTGTGTCAATGTAAAAGACGTTGACAGCTCCCCAAAGCCCCTTACCTTATCCCTATCCATCACAGGGGTGTGTGCCCAAACCTAAGTCATTTTTTTAATGCATGTTTACCGGCTAACCGTACAGGTGTTTCGGCCATCGGCTAGGGTTATCTACCTTTGTGTTGCTACATTGTTAGATTGTTGTCAAATTAGAAATGTTCTGTTGAATAATGTTTTTCATATCTTCAATAAATTCCTATTACATCATAGTGAACAGTTTCATCTCAAGTGATTTGAAAGATTTAGTTTGATCACTTTGAATAGGCACATTTGCATTGACCTTCTTTGACTGAGAGAACCACTTTTACCCATGGGCATAAGTGATCTGGGAGCCAGTATGGATTGGTCACCTTCAACAGTAACAGCAGCTGTCTTTAACATGGATCAATAATAAGAAGGTTCTAAAGTCATCTTCTGGATCAATTTGAACAAGAGAAAACTGTCTGAATCACTGATCATTATCTTCATCTTTTCTTCTTCATTCTCTTAGTTTTTCAGTGGTAAGAAACATAATGTATAGTAAAAATGTATAAATAAACACATTAGGTATTAGCTTACGTTTAGCCATGTGTACTTTGTATAACCATTGAATAAGTGTGTTAATTAGTTTCTGACCAGCTACAGATGGAGACAAATGACAGGAGAAAACACCATGAAGTGTCCAAGTCTGGAGTCAGGCCATCGCAAGCATCTAGATCAACTTCAGCCTTAAGTCGATTTTTGCATTTTTGCAGCCTTGTTAGAGTCAGGAATTCTGTGTGTTTTATTTTACTAATTTTCTCTCTTTTATGTCAAAGTATTATTGGACGTAGGCTTTGTATGTTTTTAAGCTTTGGTAAATAAAACCAGGTAGATCATTTTGATCTTTCAAAAGATTGATGATTCTCTAGACCTGTTCCTTTCATCCCCTCATCCACGGCGTCCTTCACAACATTTTGGTCAAGCCCTTTGTTTTCTAACAATTCTCTAAAGTATCAGGAATGCTAATCTTTGGCTCTCAAGAGAGGAGTAGCCTTAGAGGAGTTTCGGCAGGAACCTGCGGCAGAGGAGGGATAATCCTTCTTCTATACTGAACTATACTGAGAGTAGGCATTTCTTTTCCTCCCTGGGGCAAGTGGAAGCTGATAGCCACAGGACTGATTACCCTTGAGATAGGGACTGGACCCATAAAACATGGTGTCAGCTTCCTGGACTCCACATGCAGAGGAAGGTCTTGTGTGGATAAATAGACAAGTTGTCCTGTGGTATAACAGGGTGCCGGGGAGCAGCGTTGGGTGGTGGCCTGCTGGTAGAGAGCTTAGACCGGTGCATTCCTGTTTTGGATAAAGGGGAAGTTTATACCCCTGGGAGCACTGGAAGGGAGAGAGGGTATGGAGGGCATACTTGATCCAGGAAAAGGTTTATTTTTTAAAATTGTTTGTGTTGTGCTTGGCCATTGGTTAAATGGTGGAATCCCCATGACAGACTGACCTTGGTTCCTTGGAGACTGCACAACAGGTAAATTGTGGCTCCTGGTCTGTTGTTTCTCTGGAATGAGGTGAACAGTCTAAGAAAATTGGTCAGTGAGGATGACATTGTGATCATGAGATGCAGGCAATCCAGTAATGAAGTCCATGTGAGACCAGATCAACGTGGGGCTGGCAGAGACTGAATAAATCCTGGCCAGGCTTGATGTCAGCCCTTGTGCTGTGAACAAGTTGTACAGGCAGTGATGAACTCCTTGGTATTCTCCCTTATAAAAGGCCACCAAAAATGCTGATGCAGCAGGCTAGGGCTTCCCCCCAGACCTCAGGATGACAAGCCAGGCTTAGCTTTGTTTGAGCCTGTGCAGTATGAATGAGAAAATTCAAAGTGGTTAAAAAAAAAGCCAACCTGGCCAGCCTGGAATTTAGTTGCTTGGCTGAATGGATGTACTCCAAGTTCTAGTTTCACTGCCAGAAACTCCTGATTTCCGGGGATAGAAGAAAGTGCATGGATTGATCTTCTGGTCCTCTGCCAATCAATGCAAGAGTACACCTGTGAGGTATCCACCTCCACAATGAAACTACGGGTGGTGTCTGGGAAGACAAGACCATTGGAAGGGATGCCTTGGAAGGTGAGTGTGCTCACTGCCACCGAGGTGTAGTTGATGAGCCATCAAACCAGGAACAGAATAGATGTGGAACTGTTTTGCCTTGTCTCTGCTCATACTCATATGAATCTGAGTTTCCCAGCTGAGAAAAGCTCCTTTGTAGACAACACAAATATTCCATTGTGTTAAATGTTTAAGCGCTTCTTTGCTCTGTGCCAGATACTTCAAATCACCCTTCATTGTGTATGTCCTCTGCCCCAGTTGAATAATTTTAAGTACTTCTTTGTTCTAATTTCTACTTTATTAAATATCAAAAGACAACCGTTTGTTGTAACTTACTTATTTGTTTGATTCCTCACCGGAAACATAAAAGTTCTACCACATGGATAAGGTGGTACGAGTTTCTGAAATTGAGCTTAGAAAAGATGGTGGCTTCTTGCAAAACTTCACAAGCAGAGGAGATAAGTGGAAAAGCATTCCAGCTATCGTAATTGACGCATGGTCACAGGGACTTATCTGTTTTCTCCACAAAGAAAAAGATCCCTTCCGCCAGCGCCTTGTAGATCTACTGTTGCATGGCCCTGATTTCTGGTACTGAGAAGGTGTGGATTAAAGTCTTAGAGGATGCTAACTGTGTAATCCTGTACAGAGCCTTCCACCAAGAGCAAGAATCTCCAGCTCACCAGCCCCTTCTGGTTGACTAGTGATCCCTGTCATTTTGTGGACCAGCCGAGACAAAATGGCAGTCTTGGCCGCAGGACAGGCACTGGATTGCTCTGCAGTTGGCGCAGTCTTTCCTCCATGGAGAGCCAAGCCTGGCACAGCTGCAGAGGCTATGGGGAACCACTAAAGGCACACTGGCCTGCGGAGGCAAGGATTGCCAGAGGTGGTACGGAGAGTATGGAGATGGTAGACCAGGCTCTCTCTCTCCTCCATTCCCAGAGACACCTGTTGATGCGCATGGTAAAGGCTACCAGGGAGTGAAGATCAACTGATCTTTGATACAGTCGGAGAGCCAATGGTAAAACGCATCTAGGAGAGAGAGGTATTTTATAGTTGGTCTCTGCCATGATAGTGAAGACTGGGAAAGTCCAATTTGTCATGATCCCTATCATATTTGCACTCTGTCTAGTCTGTTTGATTCCTGTCTAGTCTATTGTCAATTTTTTGCCTTGTCTGCTGTTTGTTTCTGTCTTGGGTTTCACTCCTGTATGTTATTGTGTATTTATTATTGTTCAGTCTGCCTGTTTCCTTCTCCATGTTCTGTCTAGTTTAGTTCTTCCTTTGGCCCATTATTATAGGATTCTTCGTTTTCTGGTTTGGGTTCTGTAGTTTCTGTAACTCGTTTCTGGTTATTTTGCATTTGTTCCATGTTTTGTGTCAGTCGATTTTTCCAGTTAGGTTCTGTCT